ATACACTGGTCATTCAAGAGATGCAAATTAAAACAATACTGAGATTTGAGAGATGCAAATTAAAACAACACTGAGACTTCATGTCACCCCAGAAAGAATGGCTATCATCAAAATATCAACCGATAATAAATTCTGGGGAGGCTGTGAGGAAAATGGAACCCTTCTCCACTGCTGGTGGGAGTGTATACTGGTACAACCACTGTAGAAATCAGTGTGGAGATTCCTCAAAAAATTAGGATTAGAGGTCCCATTTCACACAGCTATTGCCCTTCTGGGTGTTTCCCTGAAAGAATTAAAAATATCACCCCTCTATTTTCGTCTCTTCTTCTTTCTTTCCTTTCCCTCCATGTTCCAAAACCCAGGCAGGAGAGTGGGGACTCACTACAGGTGTTCCTCATAACTGGGCTGTGAAAAGTGTCACTAATACCTGACTTCGTGCTTTTTGAATGTACAGTACTCCTCTCTCCCACTCCCACTGATGGAGTGTAAAAAGTACTGAAAATCAGAAACATTTCACTATTTTCATCTCACTTTAGAACCCTATTTATTTACAATAATTGTAAAGGATGGCTGAGTGACCACCCTTCCTTTTCTATGAAAGGAAAAGTCAAGTTATTGAGACAGAAATGATTTGTTCAAGGATACTGTAACATACATTAATATAAAACTGTTACTAGAAATATAGTTCAGCAGTACAGATCCTCCCTGGCAAGCGCAGGGTCCTGAGTTTGATCCCCGGCACTAGAAAAACCAGAAACCAAACCAAAACAAACAATGTCACTTTATCACGTAATGTATGCTGCCTCCAGCACCCAGAGACAGCCTGAGAATGTCACCAGTTCCTGGGCAGCTGTGCACTCCCATAGCAAGAGGACTGGAGGGTGGAACTTTCCACTTCCGCTCCAGAGCCTCACACCACCATTTTCCCAAGGCCACTGGGTCTTGTCATATATCATCAGGATATAAATATCCTGACTGACGTGTCCTGTTTATGTCAGTTACCAACAAAGTTCCTGACATCTGTGTCACCTCTCTGGGATGACTCCAGCCCCTACATATGGCTATTTTTTTTTTTTTTTTGTCTTTTCTTCTGGTACCAGGAATTGAACTCACGACCTTGCGCTTGCCAGGCAAGCGCTTTGCCGCTGAGCTAAATCCCCAGCCCCGCTATATATGGCTTTGTACATCCTTTTCACCCACCGCATCTTTCACCACACCACCCTCTGGGGCACCCTTGCCCTCTCGTTTCCCTAACATTCTTCCTAACTGAAGCTGTCTGGCACCTGAGGACAACACTCTCTTGCAGCGCCTTCAGATATGTTGTGGCTGCATTTGGTGTCACCAAGCATTGCTATTCATGTGCCCAAGGCAGATGGTTTTCTTTGTCTCCTTCTAAACCCTCCAGCTTTTACTTTTAATCATCAGGCTACAGTGACCTCTTTCTTGCTGTATAGTCAGCTGTGGATACTCCTCCCTTCTGCCCCCTGTTCTCAGATCTGTAGTTCTTGTCTCACAAACTCTCCAAAGTTCACTCCAGCGGCAGCTCTGAATTAACTCAGCTGTACGTGGATGATACTTCCCACGCTCTGGCTTAACAAGTGACGACCTCAGCGGCAGTCATTCTTTCTCCCACTCTAGTTCAGCCACTCAGCACTCGGCACGCCCCCGGCCTTGCCATCACTGCTCACGTATCTCTTTCCACACCTTCAATTTAAATATCCTATCCTTTGGCTAATACCAGTATCTGTAGCCATTTTCTTTTACTTCTCAAACTGCACACATTTCCTGGACCCACTGGGGTCTGTCACACACTGCTTGCACACTTCTCTCTGCCCTCTCTCCTCATGTCTCTGCTTGCCTGACGGAAATCTAATGTCTAGTCATTACACCACTGCCCTACCTCACCTCTTTCCTCTCTTTTGTTCTAGCTACACTTCGATGGCTGAACCCCAATGCTCTTCCCTTTCTGCATCTGCACCCACAAGTGGAATGTAACTGAAAACTTCAGGGTGATTGATCTCACTGAAAACCAACCCATTTCCCAAGTTTATTCAATCACTGCCCTCTTAGAGGACAATTTCATCATCCTTTTCCTTCTGTAAATTTCTTTCCCCATCCTCACGCTCAGTTGATGGTCTAGCTTCCTGTTTCACTGAGAAAAGATAAACAAGTGGCAGAGAGCTTCGAGGAGAATTGCCATCCAGCCCTGCACACATGTGCTTCAGCGTCCACACTTGGTGCCCTCCCTGCTGCTACCTGGAAGCTGCCCGTTCCTTCCTCCAAGGCCAGGCTCATGTCTAAGGACGTCAATCCTAACTTCTTCCCTCTTTACTGCAGCGTCAGTCTACCAATTTTCTACCACATGATCCCAACCAGCCATGTTGCAATTTTTCTCATTCGAGAGTATATGTTTTTGATCCCACATTTCCAACCCTAAATAATTCAACTATTTGCTTTTTTACAGTTAAATTCTGAGAATTAAGAGTTGTCCACATTTTTGGTCTTCCCACTCATTTTCTCCCTTCTTACATGAGCCTGTTTCAGGCAGTCTGTTACCCTCACCAGTCTACCAATGTGAGGTCCAACACTGGCCGGTGGTCAGGGGTACCAGTGAGCCCCAGGATGCTAATTCCAATGCTCTCTTGCCAGTCTATTTTTACACGAGGAGCAGTGGGGAATAGGTGATCATTTCTCCCTCTGTTGGCTTCTTGTTCTCAACAGCTTTCTTGATTTCTTCCCACCACTTTCAACTTCTACTATACAGTCTGGCTTATGCTTTTTACTCCTACCTCAACTTTTCAACTCTGCTCCTGGGTTTGCTTCCTCGCCAGCCTCCTCCAGTCATACTGGTCTCTATTCTACTTGAGCAAGCCAGGAACATGGTCTCTTCAGAGCCTCTATGCTTGGACATCTCCTTTCCCAGATGTCACCATTGCATTTTCTTTGACACTTTTCAGTCTTTACTCTTGTAGCACCTGCTTAGTGAGAATTTCCCTGATCACTTCACATAAAATTTTACCTTTTTCCCTGGTATTTATTTTCCCTCCTTTTGGGTATACATTTTTTTTCATGTCAGTGCTAAGCATCTAACATAATGCTAACCATATTTATGTCTATATAACATGACAAGGGTTTCCCCTACTAGAATAAAACTTTGATGGTGATTTCTTTTCTACCTCCTATACTTACAATGATATATAGAGCATAAGTAGGTGCTAAGTAATATCTGTAGAATGAAAAGAAATAAAATGTGGTTTTCTACAAAATAGAGATCAGTTTTGTTATAATGTATTCTACTACCCTAATTAATCTAGAGAAACATTAATATCAATACGAGTTGATCAAAGTTTTAGGAGAATGCAAAGTGGCCTGACTTTATGCAGTTCTATTGAGATGATCATAGTTGGCTTCTTCTCCTACCCAGAAACTTATTTTTACCCAGAAACTCTAAAATAAATATGGAAACAATTTGGAAAGATTGGGACACATTAGAAGAGACGTTCCATTATCTGAACAGAAATGTCAAGGGAATGATCAAGAACTTCTGCTTTAAGAAGTCTCTCTGGTTTCTACTGAAAAATCAGTATTAGAGGCAGGAGTTTTAATACATAGGTATGTTTGAAAATTCCTTTATCAACTGTTATCTGCAATGCAGGAAAACTAACTCTGCCTGTATTTGAATAAACATTTATGGCTACTTTTTTGAAAGCTCAAAATAAGGAAAGGTATATGATAATTTGTTTATTCAAGGATGAAGAAATCACTCTAGCTTTTTTTTATCCTCTTTAACCAACCCTTTCTTGTTCAATTCATATTGGAAATAAACAGTCACACCTTTCCACTCACATATCAAACAAAAACACACAAGCTGAAACCAGGGACAGACTGAGCCACACAACTCTATTTGCATGTTATATAGTCAGAGTTGGTAAAGATCATCTCTGAGAGTAAAAATCAGTAACAGGAGTGTTAGGTAGGTGACACAACATGTCTCTCACTATTTAATGCAAATATTTTAAGGATAACTTGACTATTTGCTACCTTAACTTAACATACTAGTACAGGATTTATAATTCCATGTCAGGGTTAAGAGATGTACAGTTGTTCCTTGGTACCCATGGTGGGAGGCTGGTTTCAGGACTCCCAGTAGATAATACAATCTGAGGAGACTCAAATTCCTTATATGAAATGGTGAAGTATTTGTATATAACACACATCCTTCATGTGCTTTAAATCATCTCTACATTATTAATAATATTAATACTAGTAAATGCTATGTATATATTTGCTCAACACATTTTTAAGAATTTATATTTTTATTGTTGTGTTCCTGACCCCCAAAATGTTTTCAACCTGCCATTGGCTGAATCCACAGATGTGGAGCCCACAGATATGAAGGCTAATCACAAATATCGGGAGTATATGTGTGCATACCTATAGGTATATATTTAGAACCCTAAATTATTTACTTTGCATATCTATTTAAAATGTGACATTACTTACTGAGCAGAATGTAGCATTTAAATAATCTGTACTCTAAATGGGTCATCCTATGCATGTCACTGGTACACACCCATATAGAAAGTGGCTGCTACGAAATATAGGTAACACATACAAAGTACAAAAATCAGGTGAAAAGAGCTTGCACATCTACCCACAGACATCACATCAGGATTGTCTGTTACTAACGATCCCTCAGGCATAATTCATCTCTGCATTTGTTTGTTTGCTCATCTGCCACTATGCAGCGCCTGCTTACTGCTCCAGTCTTGAGATGAAACGCTCTGGCAGATAGCAGATGTACCAATTAATAACCTGTCAGGTCTGACGGATAGAAGAGGAACAGTGTCCTCACACACATCTCCAGCATAGCTTTCTTCCCCATTTCAGGGCTCTGTGGGTCAGGAAACACATTCAGCCTCCCTGGGGGGAGCCCAAACTGTCTCATTAGCGCCTATCTTTGATGACACTGTGATACGGCCTTTGAGAGGCTGACTCACCTGCTCTTCTCCAAGGATCCTGAAGTGATGGAGCTCTTTAATCAAGGAGTTGGGACAGCCAGCTGTTGGAGAGAAAAATTAATCACTAAAATGTCATTCTTATTCTGTGCAAGATACATTCTTACATGCAGTTATGACTATCAATGCCCAGTGTTGGTGTTTGGGAGGATGTAAATGTATGCCTGGAAACATCTGTCTAGCCAATCACAGAGAAGCCTGACCTTCACAAGCACAGTCTCTAGTACCTCACTCCACCTGCAACTCTTTGGGAAAGGGTTGCATGTGATTCTGGCCAACCCCTTTCCACTCCTTGTGATGACCCTTGTGGCGCCACAGGATATCTATCACACATTTCTGCTTCTTTGTTGCCGGTGCCTCATACAGAGCTAGTTTTTGGAATGTGAGTGTGAGAGCTGATGACTGTGGGTTCTCACTGACTAATGCTTTCCTGTTTCCTCAGGCCCCAGAGCCGGGGAGGGTCATCGAGATTCCAGAATGGAGAACAGAGCAGGGAGATGTCCTGTCTTTCCAGGATTTGCGGAGGTTAAGGAATCTTGCCTGGCTTTTCCAGAAGGCTGTGTGCATCAAGACCCATATCTTGCACTTAAGCTTGGGAAGGTCTTTTCTAGAAGGACCCTGGGATAGGGTGCTGCAATCCTTCTGCCCATCACTTTCACCTGTTCAGGCTTTCACATTTTATTTCTTCAGTTATAAATGAAATAAGTAAATACATACATGAATAAACAAATAAATAATACATATGATTGTCTATATATACCTAAATGTATATGTTTATAAATTGGCACATGTTTAGTATCAGTTAAAATGTGTTCCATTCCTGTCTTTTCAATAGACTTATTCCATAGTATTAGGTTGCAGTCATTTACAACATTAACTCTGGAAACAAAATTGATATAAAACCTGTTTCTTTGAGATAAGACCTATGGATCTCAGATGAAGTTCCTATTAAGGAAATTGGATCACATGTGGAACATATCAAAGAAATCACTGAGCCATTTCTTATTTGACTCAGCACTGTGATGCAAGAATAGCTGGAGGTAGTGAGGGTGTTGAGCAGAGCAGGCTGCGGAATGACAAAACTTGTCTTACATGGGTGAAGGTGTCCTTTGCAAGAGAAGATTGGCTTGTGTATTGTTTTAGGAGGCAGAAGACAGACAAGTTCTTTAAACCAAGAGAAAAACAGAAAAATTGAGTTCTCAAGCTAATGAGGGGAGGTTTGTAAATAGAGGCTATGTGAGCTTTTCTGTAAGGTATTTTAAAGAAGAATTTGAATGTGGTGGCTGATTTTATGGGTCAACTTGACCAACCCAGGTGATACAAAGATGGCTGGTAAAAACATTATTTCTGGGTATGTCGATAAAGGACTGTCTAGAAGGAATTCACTAGTGTTTGGATGGTATACTGAATAGGGAAGACTGCCCTCACTTTATCCAGGGTAACTTGGGCCTGAACAGAACTAACAGGGTAGAGGTTTAGTTATCTGTCTCTTCTGGAGCTGGACATCCATCTTCTCTTGCCCTCAGCAGGCCTGGTTCTAGGTCTGTCATGCCAGGACTCACTCCAGCCACCCTGCCACCCTGTCCTCTGCACCTCCAGACTGAGTTGCAGAGTTTCCTGGGTCTCAGCTTCTATCATCTCGACTAATTCCCCAAATAATTTTCTCCTCTCCATGTCTCTGTCAACATATCCCATTGATTCTGTTTCTTTGAAGAACCCCAACGAACACCTGGGTTAGTTGTACTTCTGACATTCTATAGTCATGGAAAGTGCTGGAACAGAGTTTTAGTATTTGATATCCCTCAGCGTCTCCTACTATGAGAAAGTGGATTCACAAATATTCACCCAGATAGTACAAAAGATCTCTTCTTGAAGAAAATTAATGAAAATTTGGGGGCAAACATTTTGGTTGAGAACATGATAACTTTGTGGCACAGGCATCCTGGTACTGTAGACAAGGAAAGCTGCAACCCTGATATGAGAGACATAGTTAGGCTGAGTGCCTCTCCAGCAAGAGAACTTGAAGGGACATGTTCTCTTACAATATGGGGCACTGTAGGGGACTTCCTTTTTGGAGGCAGGGCTTGGCTAGAGGTAAGTCATTGTGGGAATGACCTGAAGGGTGTCTCGCCATTGCTTGCTCCTCCCTTCTTGCTCTCCTACTTGGCCACCATAATGTCAGCAGCTTTCTTCCACATCAAGGCTTGTACCATGCTGTTTCTGCCTATTAGTCAACTGACCAGGGACTGCAAGCCTGAGTCAAAATGGATGTGTTCTGATTGAGACAGTGTCCACTTCAGGGTGGCTATTCTCATGATCACCTGAACAATTAGTAAAAATGTGTCATAGGTCCATAATTTGATTGGCTGCAATGAAACCAAAACCTGCTAACCAGATTCATCTTATGGTCATTTACAATTGCTTCAGAGCTTTTGGGGAACAAGCAGTCACAGTTTAATTTTTTTGAAATGAATAAGAAGGAAACAGAAACTGATGAAATGCATGGGGTGCATCGCCAGCCGGCAAGGGACAGGCCATGGTCAGAGCTGTGGGTATAAAAGGAAGAGCCAAAGGAAAAGCGGTGGGCAACTGGAACCAGCACACAGCCCAGGTGGCAGGCGTGGGGCAGAAAGGTCTGCACCAGTCGGTCAAGGCTCTGTTTAGGGTCACTAAAATGACAGCACCTGCTGAAATAAATCCACAGTTTACTTTGGTTTTGTATTTTTATTTATATCTAATTTATAAGTTCTTATTTGGATGTTTTACATATTTAAGCATAAAATGTTTATGTTTCAGTTTATTTCTAGATTTTTTTTTTTTTTTTTTTTTCCTCCGGTACCGGGAACCGAACTCACAACCTTGCACTTGCCAGGCAGGCGCTTTTGCCGCTGAGCTAAATCCCCAGCCCCTCTAGATATATTTTTAAATACTACCTTAAAATAGTTTTCTTCAACTATGAAGTTTTAAAGGATTTTTTCTTTATAAATAGTCTTTTATAGCACTTGAACTTGAGAAAAATGACTTTGACTTATTTCTATCTTAGGTAAATAAAAAAAACAGACTTTGAAATTAGCTTCTTCTCAGAATTTATATTCTGGTATTCTCCTAAACTGTGAGTGAAAGGATGGATGTCAGCGGTGGCTGCAGTATAAACATCTTTAACAGAAGACTGCGTAATTACCGAAACACCTGGCAGGCGCAATAAAGTATAATAAACAAAGATGGATGCAGCATATGGTTAGAAGTGGCGAGAGCGAAGGGTCAAGGCACTGAAGAAGACCATGGAGGAGAACCTGTAAACTGTGCACATCACGGGACCATCAGTGTGAGAAATGGCAGAGGCAGATTTAGTGTAAAAACGGAGTTTTAACAATAGCAAATTTAATGTTGGAAGTGGTGGAGTACGCCTGTAATCTTGGATGTTCAGGAGGCTGAGGTAAGGGGATGGGAAGTTTAAGCCCAGTTTGGGGAACTTAATGAGGTCCTGTCTCAATGTAAAATTGTAAAAGGGGCTGTAGCTCAGTAGTAGAGCACTTGTTTAGCACATAAAAGGCCTTCGGTTCAATCCCTGTTAATGAAAACAAGAACAAAAACAAAACAAACCTAGACATTCAAGACAGGTTCACAGAATATTTGTGTAGGGAAAATGAAAGCTGTCAGAATCAAAATGCAGTCACTTGTGTCAAGCCCTAACCAAAATAATAATAAATAAAGCTGAGAAGTTATGAAAGAAGATACCACGAATATATGCCTAATACCTAGAAACATTCATAACTGACACTGCTAGAACTGCAGCCTTTCACAGGGGCACTGCAAGCTCAGGCTAAGAGTTCTTCCACCAGGATGTCTTCCCTTCAAGACTATGTCTTTTGCCTTGGACTGGTGCTGCTCTTGTCCCTGATCGTAAGTGGCTGAATGATGTGGGTGCTGTACTCACCATAGATTCATCCATCATCAAGTTAAGCAGCTGAACGTGCTGCTAGGAGGCTGGATAGCTGGGGGATCACTGAGTGTGTGGCTTAGGAGGGTGTATCCTTTTCTTTAGAGAGAATGCTATTTGCTTTATATGATTACAGTCAGAACTGATTTTACACATAACATAGGAAGGTGCTATAAAAAACAATGTATGAAAAACCCCATTAAATTTTACAATTACTGTATTCAGTTACCAAACAGCCAACATAGTAAGACTGTTCAAGAAAAAAGGAGATTGTGCTTGTATTCAGATTACTTACAATGCTATGATATTTTTTGAGACAACTGATAAAGCCTAGCTGTGTCTCAGTTTCTATAATTTGATTTTTTTCCCCATTCTCCTATCTTCGCTTCAATTATTCCTCCCCTCCTTATGTGGTAGATAGCTAAGTTAGATACAAATATTATAGGCAGTCAGATAGGGCCAGGCTCCCAAAGGAGCCAGTAGGAAAGACAAGATGCCTTGCAACTGTGGGGAGACAGGCACCTCCCCTGTGGGCCAGACCTCAGGACAAAAGATGAAACAAATGCACCCACATACTTCCTTAAGGATGAACATCAAGGATTGATATTCTAAATAGGTATCTATCACCCTGAGGAAGCCAGGAAGAGCCACTAACCCAAGCCCCTACAGGAAAGGCTCCTGTTCTGTATTTGTGCCCACTTGCTACTTGACTTGCTTTTCCATTTGATCCTGATTTAATAAATTTCACCTGAACAGTTATGCTCATAATCTTATTGGTTGACCATAGTTCTGTTCCACCTCATGCCCACCTTGTGATTTCCTTCCTTGAACCAGCCTCACATCATGGATCTGCTGTTTAAAAATCCCTAGAAAAGGCAGGTTCCTTAGCAACCCACTTGGGCCCCCTTCTGTCCTTCTCTCGGACAGAAGCTTTCTTTCTCCCAATAAGTATATTCTGCTTTTAACCACTGTTGTTCCTAAAATTCAGTCTTTGATTTTAGAGAACAAGAACTCATACCAGATGTATAGCAGGTTGGGAGTTTCTTTCCCCTATATCACTTATTTATAAAAACTTTGCTTCCATATTTTCCTTCTTTTCTCAGC